CCCCCCCCCCCCCCCCCCCACGAGGAGGTACCTGGGCTGTCTGGGCTGAGGCCCACCCGAGGCAGCTGGCCATAGGTAAGGGGGTGCAGGGAGTCATCAGCAGGGGTCTGTGGTGTCCTGGAGAGGCCTGGGCGCAGGGTGGTGGACGCAGAGGGGAGGCGGGGTGCAAGGACGCCCACCCGCTTGCTGACCACTTCAACGATGCCCGGGGGAAAGTAGCCCACACGGTCCGTGCCCCTCTGGCTCTCGTGGATGTGGCCCTTCCAGCGGCCGTCGGGATGCTGCTCAAGCACCTGTGGCAGATGGGCAGGGGGACGGACGATGCCACGGTCACGTGCTGCACCAAGTGCCCAGCTCTGCAGCTGCGGTCCAGCTCTTCCCCTCCCCCCGGGGAGCTGGCCTCTGGTGCCCAAGTTGGCCCACAGTTCTGGCCCTGCCGCCAGCCTCCAGCCCAATCCCCTGGGTGCCTCCGGGGCATACTAACAAGAGTCTGGAGTCAGCCTGGGTTCAGATCCCAGCTCCACTGCTTGCTAGCTTGTGACTTTGGACAAACTGCTTTCATTCTCTAAGCCTCAATTTTGTCAGCTCCAAAAAGAAAATGGTAAAGAGCACCTACCTTACCTGGATTGGGAAGAATTCAACGAGATCGTGCATATAAAGACCCTAACACAGAGCCTGATCCACTGTAGGTGCTCAAGGAGGTGACAGCAATCACTTGTGTTCTCAAAGGAATGCCTGCATTGGGTCCTCACCGTGATGACGTCCCCTGCCCGGACATTGAGGGCAGTGGGATCGTGGAGGTTCCAGAAATCCTTGAGTGCTCGGACCTTCAGGATCCCTGAGGCCTCTAAAAGAAGGAGGAGGATAGGTGTCATCTGAGGGTCCTTAGGGCATCTTCCCACCCCTCCAGTCCCCTGTTCATGACCCCCCAGACCAGCCCGGGGCCCAGGAGCGTGGCATCCTCTCCTGCTCCGCTTCCTGGGACCCTCTGGAGCGGCTCCGGATTCCCTGGGCTGGGTCTTCTCCCCCACACGCTCACCCCGCAGTAGCTGCTTGATTTCCCGGCTGGCCTGGGAGGTGGTGAACTGATTCACGATGTCCAGTGCCGTCTGGTTATACGTGTTCCGGATGTTCACGTCCACCCCACCCTGGGTGCACAGTGCGGGGTAAGCCTGCGCTGAGCACCTGGTTTGTCGCGTCTCCCGATTCTCACAGCTACCCAGCAGGTAGTTACTATTTTCAGATTTTACAGATGAGGAAGTGGAAGCTCAGAGATAGGGTCAAGGATGAGCTCAAGGTCACTCAGCTAGTAAAAGGCGGAACGGGGGCTTGAACCAGGTCCGTCTGCTCTCCAGCCACTTTGCACAGCCCCCACCCATATGCAAAACACCACGTTGCCAGTGGAGACCCCCTCCCTTGCCTCCCCAGCCGGTCTTGGACCCGGCACCTGCTGGGGACCCGTCCACACCCGCGGGCTGACCAGGGGTCCACATGCACCTCTAGGAGCAGCCGCACCACCTCGGTCTTGCCATACAGCGCGGCCTCGTGGAGTGCCGTGCCTGTCTTGGTCTGGCGGTTGATCTCGATCCCAGCTCTCAGGAGCTGCCTGTGGAGGGGAGGGTGAGTTACTGGGGCAGAGGGCAGGGGGTGGGGAAGGAGAGGAAGCCGATTGCTGGGGGCTGGGAGATCCAGAGCGAGGGTGAAGAGGGCAGCAGGGCAGGGCACTGAGGGGATGTCGCCAGTCCCAGCGGAAGAGGATGAGGATGTTGGGGGGGCCCCGGTGGGTACCTGATGACCTCTCTGTGGCCGTTCTTGGCAGCCAAGTGCAGGGGTGTGGTATAGTTGGGGTCACACGGGTCCTTGGCCTCACCCTCCAGCAGTGCCACACATAAGTGGCTGTTCAGTAACAGCTGGGCCACCTGCAGCAACCAGCACTCAGGTAGGGCCTGCTCCTGAGACCCCAGAGACACCCAGAACCCAGTACCCCAGGGCAGCAGGCCCCACCTTGAGGCGTCCAAATTCGCAGGCCAGGTCCAAGGGCGTCTTCTTGGCCTTGTTAACCAGGCACGGGTTGGACTGATGCTGGAGGAGCATTTCTGACTGGGGTGGAGGGAGCCAAGTGAGAGGTGTGGCCTGGACGCCCCCCCCCCCGGTGCCAGCCCCCCTATCCCTGCCCCCGCACCCCTGTAGGCTGGCAGGGTCACGTACCACTTCATAGTGTCCGTACTGGGCAGCCAGGTGCAGCGGGATCTGCCCATCCAGCGAGGCGGCGTTCACGGCCGCAGAGGCCCGCAGTAGCAGCCTCACGGGCTCCAGCCGGCCCTGCCAGGCTGCATAGTGCAGCGGGCGCATGCCTGCCAGAGGGAAGGGGTTTCTAAAGGAGGTCGAGGGATGGCGTGGGGCCGGAGGAGGGAACTGAGCAGAGTCTGGAGCCACCCCAGCTGGAGGGGAGAAGCGAAGCTGGCTTCACCCGGGTTTGGTCAGGGAGAGGTCTGGCTGGCTGGGGCTGAAGCCAGAATCCCACCTTGTCCACCACGGATGATCTGGTGACCTTGTAACGGTGATGTAACCTCAACTTCCTTACCTGGATAATGGGATGTCAGTACCACCCACTACCCCAGAAGGCTGTGAAGACTGAAGAGGTAAAGCATTTGCAAGTTCAGAGAAGCTATGCCAACATCTATTAGCATTGCTACGCTGTAGCAGGGGCAAACTCTGACCACAGGGTCTGGGGTGCGGGTACACTGGCCTCTCACCATTGCTGTCCTTGATGTCAACGGTTGCCTGAGCCTCCAGCAGCAAGGTTATGAGCTCCAGGCTGCCCCCCAGGGCGGCGTGGTGGAGAGCCGAGAATCTGGTGCGGTGGGACACAAGGTCGGGGGTGTCAGTGAGTGGCCCCCCGCCCCCAGATCCTGGTCTTCCACAGCAGACCCATCCTGGGGGCTGTCAGGGATGAGTTATTTGCCACTGCACCCCCGGCCCCCCACCCTGCCAGCCCTGCCACGGGAGCACAGAGCAGCCGGGCTGCAGCATGAAAGGGCTCAGTGTCTGCGCTGAGAGGCCTGTTTGTCTGGCCTCCCTCACAGCCGGCCCAGGGGAGGGGGCCGTGGGAGCAGGAGCCCTCGGGCTCCTACCCTCCAGGGAGAAAGGG